ACCCCATCCGTTTCCCTCCCCGCGGGTTTATTCCGCCAGCCCACCGCCCACCGCCCGCTGTCGGCAGCCGCCCCTGGGCTCTCCGGGACCGTCCTCCACTGTTTTCACCTCTCGGTGTTGTTGACGATCACTCCGCCGCCCTGTGAGTGATTCTTGTTGAGCGCCATCGTCTCGGAGAGGGGTCCCGAGACTGGCGACGCACTGCGCTTGCGCCCCTTTCCGGCCCGCCCCCAGTGGCGTCGTTCGGATTAGAGTTAGCCAATGACAGCTCTTGTGCGGGGGCTGGGCCAACCAGCTGCTCCCACGGGTCACGTGGTGACGGGTTACGTCCGCTTCCCCATCGTTACTTCCGCCTGCGTCATAAACAAGTTGAAGACTACGAGTCCCAGGAGGCAATGCTCCCGCCACGCCGACCTCTCCCTAGGCCGTTGGAAGGATGCATTTTGGGACTTGTAGTCTTCCAGATCAGAGGCCTGGACTGATAACAGAAGGAGCTCTCTTTGACGCAGTCGTTTGGCGGGCTGCCCATCGAAAGATGGGTGGGTTGAGTCCACCTGACGCTTCACGGAACTGCCTCCGTAAAGATGGACAGCCTAGGAAACAAACCCTACTCTGTCCTGAGTGGGAATCAGCTGCTAGACAAAAGGGTTGTTAAGTGCCATCCGCTCGATTCCGACCCAGCCACCCAATCTACAATGGAACGGAAGCCTCCCCTGGCCCTGCGCCACCCCTACGTCGTCCTTCTGTTTGAACCCGTTGTTGCAACCACGATGTCAGTCCATCTTGTCCAAAGTCTTCCTCTTTTTTCACGTGTTCTTTACCAAGCATGATGTCCTTCTCCAGGGATCGGTCTCTCCGGACATGTATGTCCGAAGTCCCTGAGAACAAGTCTCTACATCCTCACCTCTGTGTCAGAGCTAAGCTCTGAACACCCACTTCCCAAAAGGCAGTGAATGGTAGTGTCAGCCTCAAATCCATTTTCAGAGTCCCCACATAGATCAAGCCTCCACTGAATTCCTTCAGATCCCTAACCAAGGATGCAGATAATTTTGCCCTCCGGCCCAGTACTTTGGTAAGTAGATTACCTCCACCTCCCTCCAGCTGTCTGGGGGCATGGGGAAGGGTGGGCTCCCTCTTAGGGGCTTGCCTGGCTGGGTCTTCAATGGAGGTCATCTACTGGAGACAGTACATGGTGTCACATAGTCATGAGACAATCTCACCCTATCAGACTGCCTTGGTCGGAAGGCCCTGGACCAATCTTGTCAGCCCATGGTCCTGTTCCTGGCCCTGTAGCCACCACCTGTAACTGATATGTTGACCTGCCACCAGTCATGAATGTGTGTTTCCTTTGTTCCATGCTTTATTTCAGTAACTAGCTTCCCTCCTTGAATCCGCGTTGACCTCGAGCCAACAGCCTCCCCCATCTGGACGATATTTGTGTCTGTGGGTTTGTGTTGTCTTTGTCCTCTTAAAGGACTTACTAAATGTCCGGGGAGGAGACGAGCCAGTCAGGGTGGGATGTAGCAACGAGGAAACATACAACTTTCCTCTAGCTCCTAAATGCTTCCTCCTCCCCCACTATCAGGATCCCAATTCTACCTTACAAATCTGGCTAGACCAGAGGATGTAC